TGTCACGTGGACCTGCGTCCGATCCCTTCAAACACCAGAAGCTCGAAGAAAAGTTCTGTACAGATTAAGTCATACACCTGATGGAATGGGATTGCGGTTACTTAGCTCCACAGATTGGAGAGAACTTAAATGGACCTCGCAAGCCCTCAAGTGACGCCCAGTTAAAATGCCTCGATTTGAATAACCAGCATCGATAGCATCGAACACTACTGGTGTCAATTAGGTAGGTCCTGCTCTCAATTCGGAGGGGTTGACAGAGTGTTGTGAGTTTTGAGCTGTTTCCACGAAACCAAACAGCACTATTCCACCTCTTTCCTGTCAACAACTTACGCAGTTGTGTTGGGAAGCATTCAGTTATTAATGGGTGGAATTGTATCGTGGATGGCCAGTCTTTTTAATGAAGAATAATTCATGATGTTTTAAGGCTTGGCTTTAAATGCACTTGTGTGGTTTACGTGTTGCGTGTCTTCAAGTTCGACTTGTCGCCGCATTGCGCTAAAATCAAATGGCTGAACCTAACACGGTGTTTTGATTGGCTGTCTTAGGTTCGCTATGCTGCTCGCACGATTGCATACTTCCTATTGGACGCTTTGCCAGCCAATGAGTGGCGTGATCTCGTCAGCCAATGGACACAATATTTGCCAATTTCACCCAGTCAATCAGGTGCCTGTCAGTTGAAGGTCAATGGCACTACTAATGGACCAGAGCTCATCGAAACACCCCAACAAAATTCGTCCAAAGCGGAATCAGCGAATTCGTCGAAGATGCCACCAGCTCTGGAGTGTTGCGAACATCCAAGCCTCTTAAGGATATCGGCCAATTTGGCCAGTGGAGTGTTCGACACCTTCGCTTTTGGACCGAAGCGTATCTTGTCGGGGGCAGCAATGCATCACTACCGTGTCGTGGTACGTGCTTCATTCTCATGACGATTTAACTTCAATCATGCTGTTTTGTGTGACCGTCGAAAACTACCCCTACCCTTCTTCTCTTCTATCCTTCTCCTCCCCCTCCCCCTCCTCCTCTACATACTCCAACTCCCACTCATGTGTGCCGTCTCCTTCATTCGTCTAGACATGTGCAATTCTAGCCCTGGCAGCCATGGGAACGCGAAGCAGTTTGGACCATCTACGGCCAGAGGTGGCAGCGCGCGACCTCTGTCCGGACCTCGTGTCGTCCGACCCCCCCGAAACCGATAACCCCGACGTTTGTCGCTCGCAGCGAGGTCTTGCGTCGCCGCACTATGGCACTTACACCACCGACACGAATCTCGCGCCGCCTCCTGCCAAATTGGCCGAAAACCATCTCAACTTCGAGGACGAGGAGGTAGTAAGGAGGACGGCAACGTCTCTGGTGGCTATTATAGGCAAGACATTATTATTGATTGCTTTTGCTTTTTCGCGCACTGATCACGATTGCGTTGTGTACGAAGATGCCATTGGCCAGTTTTCACGTCTCAATCTGATTGGTGGAACCACAAATCTTGTTATCAATGTCATTCAAACATCTAAGCACCATAGGAGAAACAGTGAGTCGTACAAATATTTTCATATTCTCTTAGCTTTTAGCAATTGAGCTCCCCTTTTCACGGCCTATCTACTCACATTTTTGCCGTCATCGTGTCGTGAGATCCCTGCAAATTTTTCTACAGATCTCACACTGTCTGAGCAAATGAACACAGCTGAAGCGTCTTTCGCTGCATCACATCCACTAACAGTACCCTACGCGGCTTCTCCGGTTAGGCGCGCAGCGATTGATCTGCTGGGTCGCGGTTTCACCCTTTGGGAGCCCTACCTGGACACGGCTCAACTACTCACGTCTCTTCTCAGCCTGATTGCCGAGGGCAGTCCAAACCAATTCTCAGAGTGAGCTAACTCTTATTAAAAGAATTCCAATCGTACGATTGGCCTGTTTGAGGAAGTCTGTGTCTTGGTGGTCAGGGCTCTATGGAAAGTTGACTCTTTCGATTCAATCATTTTTACAATTCACTTGCTCTAAATGTTATTCCATCTGATTGATCGCCTAGCTTTTTAGATTCTCGTGTCTAGATTAATGAGAGATTTGGCGAAGTTAGTGGCGTTCTTGTTTGCCCCCCCCCAGGCTACATCCCGAAGAAGTGCTTTCAGACGACGCTGACCTGGCCAGGAGTGCACGTCAGGCGTTGTGGCAACTCACCTACACGCGTCCACACCTCGTGGTGCTCAACCTCTCGCTCATGCTGCGTCGTTTGGGCGCCAACGCGGTCTCTGCAATGGTCTCGGCCGCCGCCGCCGCCGCTGCTGCCGCCCCCTCCGCCACCTCCACCACCAACGCGTCGTCGTCGTCGACGTCGCGCACTCTCCGCGTCGTCATGTCCTCTCCGACGCTCGCCGCGCCCATCTTCTCAGTGACCCACTCTGGTCTCCCCCATGCCACTCCACCCACTGGAAGTTCATCGCCGGTCCCGAATGCTCCACACCGTAAGTCCTCCATCATTTCCTTCACCGATGTGTTCATTTTTGTCGTCTGGTTGAACTGATTGCCAAACATAATCAATTTTTGAAATCTACTACCTAATTAATAAGGAAATATAGCACCTATCAAAAGATTAAGGAAGTCCCAGTGTGTGGTTGAAGACAGTTTTATTTTAAAAATTTACGATTGCCGATTATTTAAAAATACACACAAACCTGATAACGCAATTGTAAATCCCTCACTACCGTAGTCGCCTTTACCATGGAAAGAGGTGAAGCTTCTTACGGTCCCTAATACGTTCAATGCGCCCGCCTATGCGACCTTGACTTCAAATAGCGCATTCAAAGTGACGTGAGCCAATGGGATGATCGATATTAACATATGCAAAGTGGTGTGCCAGTTTGAATCGTAAATTGGAAAGTTAGCTATTGCATGAAAACTCACAGATTATTAGAAATTGTTTTCATGACCGCGAACCAGCTTGCCTCTGTGTCGCGTCTATTTGACTGTTCCGCACCATCGAATCACTCCGCCTTTGAACTGAAAACTTCGTGGAACGTCTGGCTTTGCAATGCTAAGTGGATTATTTGTTGTGCTATCTACGCAATTTGGCATCTCTCTCTTCCACCAATGTCCTTATTTAGCTCGCGCCATCAGAAAGAATTCCACCAGTCACGCTGCAAATCCACCACAGCAGACCAACCACGGTCTCCTCCCATTACTCGGCGCTCGCACCGAGGTTCTACGCTTGTATGCCGACATCTGTCAACGCCGGCCAAACAATCTACTACCGATTCTGCCGGAATTTGTTGAGGTCATCCTAGCCTGCGTGGATCGGACACAGCTGAAGGAGCGTGGTCTCAATACGGCGTTTCCGCTACTGCAAAGGTCAGTAGTGACTCTTTCGAAAATTTACGAATCATCACGCAGAGCTACTTACTATGCTTTATCCCAGGTTCAACTCCGTCGACAGTCACACTAGGGCTCAAAAGGTTTGCGTCGGTGGCACCAACGGAATGCTAATCTTCTTCGATTTCAAGGCGGGACGGTACTGTGTAAGTTTGGCCTCTTTTTTGCAGATGTTTTCTTTTAAAAAGGCTAGGATAGTAATGGGAAATGTGGATTTTCTTGTAGTCCACGCGTGGTCATCAAACACCAGTCACGGCGATCTGCTTTAGCTCCGATGGACGCCAGCTTGCCTCCTATGCAATCGACGAAAACACCCTCCGGACGTGGCAGGTGCGAACTTTGTTGAACCACTTCATTTTTCGTAATATAAACCAGTATCTACACTGCATTGACTGTCAGATCACCCGTAGATAACCCGATCGATATGCGTCAGGCCATATTTGTCTCTTCCTTGGTTTAGCTTTCGACGGCCGGTCTCTTTGGAATGGGTGGTCAACAAGTGCGGCCTCTCAGCAGTTATCCCGTTCGTCCCTTGCAGCCGCCCTCCTCACAAAGACTCGACCCCACGATGGTCTCTCTCACCTGGCCCGAGCCAGCAAACATCGAAATTCACCACAAGGGGGCCTTCCTGCGCTCCGTGCCCCTATCCACATAATGTTTCTTCCAGTTCCTGCGATGTGTCTTGTATACTTTTTGTAACTAGTACACTGTTGTCTTTCCCTTGTGTGTGTGTGCGTGCATGCGTTTGTGCGTTTGAAGGCATTTTTACTGCGACCGTTGTCGTCGTCGTCGTCCTCACTGTCTTATTTTCTCATGTCAATCCTACATGTATCGCCTATCTTCTTAATCGTAACACACTGCATTGCTGTGCGCCAATCGCCTTCCCCAGAGCAGTCGTAAACAGTCCTTTCAGATAATTTGTGTGTTAGGACAAGTGATTTCTTTGTTGCAATATGGTGCCCAAAGAAGTTTGGAGACGTACATCCAACTTAGATACACATTTCCAAATAATGAACATTTTATATCAACCGGTAAGGCTTTCTTCTGAGTAAAATTTGGGAAAGGTGTTATTAAATGTGCAGCTGGAGCCCTAGGCAGAAATTCTCTAATGTCGAAACAACGAATACTATAGACTCCGGAATTCAGCAATTCTACAAGGACCAGGTCTTGATAATTATTAAATGATTAATTAGTTTCTTGAATTTTTGCACTTACATAAAAATTGTATAAAAATCTACATTCCACTGTTTGGGGAGTTTGGTAGAGTTTGGTTTAGTACAAAAAATGATTTCGAACAGTTACTTTACAAAAGGGTAGAATGAGAACAAATAAGGACTTACAAAGGTCTTGGTCAATTTATATTGCATTAAATGTTCCTACTATTAAAAATAGACATGCAGTAATTAAGGCTACGTGCTATTTTGGAAGTTTTAAAATAAGTCACTTGGTTTGTGAATGATACCAGGTAGACCAGATAACTTGCATGAATTAAATTAGCTTTATTGCACTATTATAAGTTCGTGTTCTGATGCATATTAGTGTGAAAGTGATTTATATAACATGTCTAAATTTTTAGACTCTACAACTCAGAACAATGCAAAAAAGTCAATCGCATTTCAACATAATCTTTAGAATACTTTAGCCTCATATGAGGTAAATACCAGTAAAGGGAAGTCTTAAAGTTATTTTTTAAAAAGATTTATTGTCCCTTTGCCTTTTTACGGGCTATATAGGGAATACCTGTTATCAATTCCATTTTAAAAGGCGTGAGTGATAGTGGAGATCAATTCAACTCCAAAAAACTGATCATCTTTTCAATGACGACGCTCCAACCCTTGTTTACCTGTTGATTTAAAATTTCAACTAACTTTAAAAAACTT